TTTGCCGGCGTCGGCTACACCCCCCATCATAAGGAGCCACCGAGATACATCCGGACAAAGGCCAACAACAAAAAGACTCGCGAGTTCAACCGCATGTTCCTCGCCCAGGAGCTTATCGGAACACAGCCACCCAAGAACAGCGACGACGAAACAGTGCCAGACGTTGGTAAGCCCCCACTCGTCACTGTGACGGTGGCGGGGCCCAACGGGCGGAAGGTCGCCAAGACGGGAGGTGCCATCTGGGCAACCGAGTTCAGTAAGGACGGGAAGTACTTTGCCACAGCGGGAAGAGACCATGTGGTCAGGATATGGGCCGTCATCTCGACGCCAGAGGAGCGCCGGGCTTGCGAAGAGGAAGAGGCCGCTAATGGCGGCACTGGAGAAAGGCTTAGTGCGCCTGTTTTCAGGGGTCGACCGGTGCGCGAGTTTGAGGGACACACGGGCGAGGTGCTCGATCTAAGCTGGAGCAAAAACAACTTTTTGCTGTCGTCGTCGATGGACAAGACAGTTCGGCTGTGGCATATCAGCAGGACCGAGTGCCTGTGCACCTTCAAGCACAAAGACTTTGTCACGAGACTAGCATTCCATCCTCGGGACGACCGCTTCTTCCTTGCTGGTTCGCTAGACACGATGCTGCGGCTGTGGAGCATTCCCGACAAGACGATTGCCTTCTCTGCCCAGCTACCCGATCTTGTCACTGCTGTAGCTTTCTCGCCGGATGGTAAGACCGCCATTGCCGGGCTTCTCAACGGTCTTTGCCTCTTCTTTGAGACCGAGGGGTTGAAGTTTCAGAGCCAGATTCATGTGCGCTCGTCTCGCGGCAAGAACGCCAAGGGAAGCAAGATAACCAGCATTCAGGCGATGAACACGGCTTCACCAGGCTCAGCCAGCCTCGCTCCCTCCCAAACCGCCAGCTCTTCGGCATCCCGCACCTCCACAGACGTCGCAGCCTACGGTGATGTGAGAGTCCTGATCACATCGAACGATAGCCGCATTCGCATATACAACCTGCGGGACAAGACTCTTGACGTCAAGTTGAAGGGCCACGATAATGCGTGTAGTCAGATCGCCGCAAGCTTCTCGGATGACGGAAACTACGTTGTTTGCGGGAGCGAGGACAGGAAGGCGTTTATATGGAGCCTCAATGGCAATGTGGCTGCGATGCAGGACAGGGACAAGTCACCCTGCGAATACTTTGAGGCACACGGAGACATGGTCACGACGTCTCTTTTCGCTCCTACCAGGACAAAGATGCTCCTCGGCCAGAGCGGTGACCCAATCTACGACCTCTGCAACCCGCCGCCTGTCGTGCTCCGAAGTCTTGGGGAGGAAGCCAATGCAGCCGAGAGCCAAACGGGTCTGAGCAGCGATGAAGCACCACCACAAATCAATAAGCCGGAGCCTAGTCCCGCGTACGTCGCGAGGTCGACACATTATGATGGCAACATCATCGTCACTACAGATGACTCGGGCATCATCAAGGTCTTCCGACAAGATTGCGCTTTTGCCAAACGCAAGCACGAGAACTGGGAGACAGGCAGCACGCTGAGCCGGAAGCTGACAGCTCACGGAAGCTTCATCGGCAGCGGCCTCGGACGAAGCGCTAGCATCCTTACTCGGACGAGCGCCAGCAGCGCCGCACACAGCAGAAGGGGCTCGCTCAGCCAGTCTATAGGCTCCAGCGCGCTCGCATCGCCGCAGCTCGTTCCTGTTTCCGCGAATTCAGATCGCATCCTAAGCTGGCGCCAGAGTATCGAGTACAACGGCGACAAGCGAGCAAATGCGATGATGAATGGGGGCGGCACGCCGACGCGTAGCGAGCGGTCGGTTAGCCCTACTAAGGCGAATCGGACACCCCTCGGTTCCAGCGCGGCGAATCTGGCAAGCGACGCGCGACGGCAGCCCTATGCTGGGTCCTCGCCTGCCGTGGCTCGCGCTGATAGCACCGTGGCGAGCCCAACAGCGAGCGTGTTTAGCAATAATACACCAGAAAGATTTCCTTCCCGGTCGGTCAAAGAGAAAGAGCGCAAGGAAGTCAAGAACAAGCTAAAAGAGGAGGACATCCCATCCCTCCCGGCACCGAGCTTCGTCTTCCGTCCGGCCTTGGAGGAGGACGACCAAGCGCAGCCCCTCGATCAATCCGGGACAAGCCAGTCGTCGTCCTTCTGGAACCTGAACCGTTGGCGCGGCATCACGGGGTTCAAAGCCAGCTCGGCGGGCCAGGGACACACGGGCGGACACACACGAGCCCTTAGCAGCGGCAGTTTGCTGTCTAGGTCCCGGATGGACGGGGTGATAGACGAGAGAGAAAGGGACAAGGAAACCAGCCGCGAAAGGGAGAAGGAGAAGGAGAAAGAAAAAGCCACCCGCAGGCAGAGCGTCGGCGCGGGCGTACCTCACAGCCAGGCCGCGGAGGAGGGCGACCTGAGTCGTCGTCGGCAGTCCTTTCCCCACCACGTGGCATCGCTCTCGCTCGATGGTCCGGGGCCGCATGTTGATTCGGATGGACAGTCTATTCCGACGATCAATGTCCCTGGGGAGGAAGAGGCAGGCCGCCACTCTAGAATGAATCCTATGCGTATGAGACGGGATGGGTCGCCCTATCGTCATCTTTGGAGCCGGGGGAACTCGAGCCGGTTGAGTTCGGAGCTGAGCGGGGACATTGAGGAAGAGGAGAGGGAGGGCGATGGCGAGGAGATGACGTGTGGACAGTGCGGCGGGCGTGAATTCAAGGCGAGGAAGATTACGGGGAAGCAAAGATTGAGCTGCGGGAGGTGCGGGGCGCTCGTGGATGAGTGATTCTTTTGTATATAGAGTGCGAGCAGGCTGCACGTATGCATGGCTTGCGCCTGGGTGTTGGCATTGGGTTGGGCGCTTTTGCATCATGATGGAGGAGCATTGGTGCGCATACCGCATGGGCATAGCATGGGTGTTGGACGTTTTTCTTCTGGATCAGGGGTGGCGATGTTTTATTGTTCTTACAATGATACCAAGGTATGCAGCTCCAGGCGCATAGCAACCGGCAGTGTTTTGTTACCGAGTATTATTGATGGTAGCATTGTTAGCCATAGATGGTATTCAATTGGGCTTGTCTAGTTGTTCTTTGTTGACAAGGGGTTCAGATCGTAAGTGCAGCTGTTTAAAAGCAATTCAGGGGCGCGCGGATATAGAAGGGTATCCCATCGCAGTATTCGCCCCATTTCCTCCCCACCTGGCTTATATCCTCGTCCTCGTTCCCACATTATTGATCATCGTTTCATGTCCCGTCGTTGTCCGTCGTCGCATCGCGCTTAAAACTACCACCACTGTCAGTTCTCTCTCTCCCCACCACAACACAGGCACCCCAACTCACATCCTCATCCACCTTCAACAGCGCCTCCTTCTCCTTGGGCTTGACCAGCTTACCCAGCTCGCTCGCAATCAGAGACAGGGTCTGCGGGTGCGCGCCCCGCAGCATCGACACCTTGCCGTCGTTCACCACGGCGCCGCCGTAGCTCACCCCCGCGATCGCCACCCCGCCCGGCTCGCCGTCCGTCAGGATCAGGAACGACGGCATCGCCGTGATGCCGTACTTCTGCGCGGTGTCGGGCATTTCGTCGACGTCGACCTTGGCAAACGCCAGCCTGCCCGGCACGCTGTGCTTCTTGGCCAGCTGCGCGTACATGGGCGCGATGGCCTTGCACGGCGGGCACCACTCCGCCCAGAAGTCGATCAGGACGTACTTGTTGGTCGTGGCGAGCTCTTCGAGCTGAGCGGCTGAGGTGATGGGGGTTGGTTCAGACATTTTATATATATATTTTTTTGTGAGGGGAGGGATTGGTTGTTGTGTAGATGGGGGCGGCGCGATTTCTTTTGGTGTTGATGATGGAAAGTTGGGGGGGGGGGGGGGGGGTTGTTGGAGGGGTAAAATTGAGTGCGGGTGCGCGTGCCCGTGTAACGGCGGGGTTTCCATTGTCGCAAAGGGGAGAAACTAATCAGCCTTGGCAGCGAACCGGCCGTCAACGGCCTCGGCGCACCTGCGGGGTTCCAAATCGGGCTTACGGCGCTCGGTGGCTGTCGGCGGGCCGGGGCCGTCTGCGGCGATGGTGGGGCAGCATATTACCAGAGACAAAATGACATTTAACAGCGAATCAGCAGCAAAAGGGGCCAATTGATACTTGAGATACGGGGTTGACGCTGGCGCGGTGAGGTGCTGTCTGTGAACCGCCGCGGTGTGAGACCCACAGCATGTGTCTCATGATCAGACATAAACTTGACACTCAAGCGCTACAGGTTTAACCTGCGCTGTTGATCCGCCTTATTTCCCCAGTTATATTTCTCTTATTTTTACACAGATTAAGCGCCGAATTCCTAGCCCGGGTCAAGTAGAATCTGTAGGTATACGTGTGGGTGTGGCGTTTTACAACTTACGTGTAAGTCGGGACAGAACGGCAACACCCTAATGAATGACCAACAAATCACATGCTATCTTCACGGAAAGTACGGGGGACAGAAAAGCACGATTCTTTACCCATGGCCTTGCCTACATGTCAATCAGGTATAAGTAGAAAAACGATACCAGGAATAGAATGATGGCAACCGTGACCTTATTTTCGGAGGATATAAACAAATAAATCGTGGGAATCATTCCCGAAATGCACTCCAATTGCCGTTCATTCCTGAAGACATCCAATGGGAGTAAGTGTCGCCCAGTCTCTTTGTCGCCGCTCGTTATGTGAAGCTAGCGGATCCTTATAAACCAGCCAAATGTCTCTCATCAACACACCCACCACATCGAGTCTGTAAGATGAACAGTAAATTGCGCGCAGGATGCAATCTGCCCTGATTTGCTACCATGATGCCAAGCTTAAAGTAAGTAATTTCACAAACCTGAAGGATCTAGGGGCTGTCATGACGACTCACCTCCCTTCCCGGCGTGACTCACTCCCACACCAGGCGTCGCAACTCTTCGCCGTTCATAGGGCACAATAGTTCTCGACTCATAAACCAAGAACTGCTCATCTTCCGTAGTATAGTGGTCAGTACGGGGGCCTGTCAACATGTGTTCTCAGACGTCCTCATCCCGGGTTCAAATCCCGGCGGCAGAGTTATTTTTGCGCTTTGGTTCCCTCTCGACCTTCTCCTCGTCCGTTATCTCAGTTTCGGATCCGTACTTCACTTTACCCTTGCCAAAATACCACGCCGTAATCAGATCAAGGTCAAGGGAATTGGCTCACCTTGAAGCCCCTTTATCAGAATCTTCCGACAAAACCCCAGCATCCCAAGTCCAGCGCTTCCTCCAATGTCAGCAATCACTCCCTGAGGACAACAACCCCAGCCGATGTTTCACGATGGTGGTGTCTTGGACGAGGAACTGGCTGGGCCGTGTGTGTCCTGTCGCCGCAAGTTGTTGTGTCCGGGAGCCCGGCCCCATAGCTGAGGGCTGATATTGGCGCTTCGTCCTCGGGAGGGTCTGATCGCGAGGCTAAGCTCGTCGATCCCGGCCAGCTGGGTGGTTCTCCGGCGCTTAGGAGAGCCCTCCACGATGATTTCTGACAGAATCACGGTTCCTCCTCTGCAACTGCGCCCCCCCCCCCCAACGAGGGAGTGTCGAGACGGGGTCTCGCCAATCACCACCGCAGCGGCGCCGCAGGATTGCTTGACAATGAGCAAACAGCACGGTCTCGCCGTGTACCGCCAGCCTGCCTGCATGGCCCCGCATTTTGGGCTGCTGGAAACACGGTTGAGGCTCTGCGGCGTTGGTGTGGGTGGGCGTCGGCGCTGTTCGAGTTGTCGTTGTTGCCGATGTGCCATGTTTGTGTGACAGCCGCCGTGCATAGTCGCCTCTGGCAGCCCTGTGTGATTGGTCTCTTTGCCCCCTTTTCCGTTGGCGGCCGCACCCTCCACCAAGCTAATGCGGCCGAGCCAGGCCGAGCCAGAGACCTGGTGCCATGCGGCTGCCTTCATCATACGTAGCAGCAGCCTTCACCTTATCAGGAAACCTTGCTGGTGTTGTGAAAGACGACTGCGCGAATCCACCACAGTCCCATAATTGCCCGCCGGATACACCCATCCCATCAAGATAAGCGCTTTCAGGGGCTTCTCGCCTCTGAGAAGCACACCCCCTTTTCGGGCTCAAAACTCTCGCCGACAGCACCTGCCTTCATACCCCAGCTAGCTAAAGCCCCAAGAAATCATAGATCGGCCAGCGAGACGCCGTCGGCGTTTGATTTCGCCACTAGCGCGTTAACGATGGTGTTTGCGGTCGCCAATAGTCCAGATCTCTCTCAAGGTCCCCGGGGCCATCAAGGAGCCATCTAGGGGTTGCCAAGAGTGTCCAGTGTCATGTCGGGGTGGGAGAAGCGAGAGACAGGCTCTCGGTCAAGTCCGCAGAAGTGACTTGTCAATAGCTAGCAGTCGGCTGCCCGGCGTCACGCAGTCGTGTCTCTGATATGGGAAGCCTAGCATGGTTTGACTGGATGACGGTTGGCGACATGTACCGAAAGCGACTATCGTGTGTGATCAACCAGCTCCTCAGAAGTGAAGAACAGTTCCCTGCTCGTGGTATTGTGCCTTTTCGGGGAGCCGACGGGAAGAGACCTACTCTTTCTCACACGATGGAAGATAAGATCATGATGTGATCCTCATTATAAATGAGAGACGATGGATACACAAGGCCTCCGAACCTCGGCTCTGTATGGATACACAGTCTTGTCAGCTTGAACCACAGCAAGGAAGCCCGAACCGACCGTAGCTCATCGTTGCTCCTTCTCTCCACCTTACCACCACAATGGAAGCCCAAAACTCCTTCCAGTTCGGCGTCGAGATCGAACTCCTCATGGGCAGCCGCAAGAAGACCCACCCAAACTGGAAGTCCCTCGCCAAGGACGTGAGCAAGCGTCTCCTCAAGGCGGGCATCGCCAACCACATCAACGAAAGCAACGACAAATCCCCCGAGAACTACCGCGAGTGGTCCATCGTGCAGGAAGTCACCATCCCCAACCAGCCGGCAAAGAACCTCTGTACGCCCCCGCTCTCCTCTTCCTCCCCACCCCCTTCTACTAACAGTTCTTTTTTTTTTTTTTAAAAAAAAAGGGGGCCTCGAACTCGTCTCCCCCGTCTACCCAATCCACACCTACTGGGCCTCGGACCTCTCCACAATCTTCACCACCCTGCACGCCGCTTTCATCCTGGTCCCGTCCGCGCACTGCTCCACCCACATCCACATCAGCGGCACGCCGCACCCGCTCTCGGCCTCGGGCCTCGCCGCCCTAGGCAAAGCCGCGCTCTACTACGAGCCGGCCCTGGACCGCCTGGTGCCCCCCGCCCGGCGCGGCTCGAGCGCCTACTGGTGCCAATCGAACCGGGCGAGCCCGGGGCTGCGCGGGCTGGCGTCGCTGGGCGACTGCCTGGCGGTGCTGGACGCGGCCGAGGCGGCCGGGACGGCGCGGGCCGTGGTCGAGGCGGTCAATCTGTTCCCGGCGGCGAGCGCGTACGGGCGGGCGCACGCCAAGGTGCGCGATTTTGTGAGGGGCAAGGTGTACAAGTGGGATTTCACGGGCATGTTGGCTCCTCCGGGCGGGGCGGGCGGCGGGCAGACGGTGCGGGGGACGGTCGAGTTCCGGCAGCCGAGTGGGAGTCTGGTGGCGGATGATGCGGCGGCGTGGGTCACGCTTGCTGTGGCTTTTGTTGCCGGGGCTATGGCGGTTGGGCCGAGCCTGGGGGGTGGAGGAGTCGGTCAGGGCGCGTCTATGGAGGAGCTGTGGGCGTTGCTGGCGAGCGGTGCAGAGATGTTGGGGTGGGAGAGTCTGGGGGTCGTGGAGGGCTTGTTTGAGCAGAGGAGATCGTGAACGTCTTGGGGGAAAGGCATCTAGGAGCGGCAATCTAAATATGGGACAGGGTAGGTTGATGTTGTCTCTAGGTAAGGTACATAACAAAAGTCTGCCATACAGTCGCTTTGTAATTAGGAGAGAAGGTAAAGAATGCCCCAGGTTAAGAATGACTGGGTCTGGCGCTTTGTTTACCCATTGATGAGTCCCGAGTCACCATCCGCCCCTCTTCAGCATGAAGACGAAGCCGCCCCGAAGTCGCACGTCTGCAATATACAAGCCATCTCCATACCAGGAATAGGGGCGAAACAAACATGAAATCTCGGAGCAGATAACTCCAGGGAGGCTCAAAACCTTCCCTTGGCGCCATGTTGGGGAAGCCAGGACCGCCAACGGACGCGGCGCGTGGTAAAGTGAAGCCGTTGTGTAGAGCCCGCATGAGACCACGAGACCATGAGACCATGAGACCATGAAGACATCCAGGTGGTGGATGAAGGTCAACTGGATAGCCGAAGTCCACCAGAGGGCAAGACCAGGTTCACGGGCCGATTTGCAGTCTTTGTTGTCGTCGTCGGGCAGGAACGGATACGCCAGGACCGGGAGCGCTGTTCCGACTCAAAACACGATTTGGCTTGTGCTGATCCATGCAGCAATTGCAGTGCTGATTGTGGCAGTTAACCGCCCTAGGAAGCGGGAAGTGGGAACCTTTGGCCCAAGGCCTGACTGAACTCAAAATGGGCAGCAGCCTGAATGGATACCTTGTATGTGAGGCAAGTGGCGTCACCTTCACCGTGTAATTGGGAAGGTGGCGGCAGGGTAGGAAGGCGCGCCGTTGGCTGTATGGGGCCACTGACCAGGTAGCCGGTGGCATCGACGTGGGGAAACGGCTGGGGATCCAAGATCTGGCTCAGTATGACTCAAGTCCTCTTCGCCGTAATTGCATTCCCTTTACTGTGCCATTTCGTCACTCCCGACCCCGGTTACAGTAGCATCAGGTTGTGGGGCAGACCGTTGCCAGTGGTTCTGCTTTGGCCTGCTGGTAGGGCTCGGGGGGTATAATGTTGCTTTTGATCTCTTTGTGGTCGGGACACCAATTTTGTTATTGAGGATGGGCCCTGGTTAGGAGGGGTGGCTGTCGGTTGCCACGCTGTTTAGGAAGTTGGGGAGCTGGCGCAAGAATGAGAAGCGATGCATACAAAAGCTGAGAGCCTGAGATAGACGTGCGGGTCTAGGGCCGCTTGAGCACATGACCTGAGTTGCCTGAAGGATACCCTTCCTGAGGCCACGACGAGCAGGTCACATGCCATGCCCGACCCAGGTATATCATTCAAATTTACAGGCCCCCCCCACAACGAGATCCCCCCCAACGATGAGGCCTGTTGGCGGAGTGGGGGGGAGTCTCAACCAACGACTATGGGTCAACCTTGGTCGTGGGTTCGACTCCCCTTCGGGGGAGGGCAAAAACCCCCCAACGCACTTAGGGAGTAGTAACGCCCGACTAGTAACGCCCGACGGGGCCTGAACCTCGGTCCTGAACCTCCCCGACCGTGGGGGTTTTTCGTAGCCGGCTGACGAGCCGGTGAGCTTTTTGCTGTTTTGTCTCATTTGTTTCTCGTCGTATCCAACCTTCAGGTAGACAACTTTCGGCGAAGCCGCAACTGACCGTGCACGCTCCCAAAACCAACCAAGGCATGGGATTCACCCACGGCAGCCATCATTCTGCTGATATCCTGGTCCGAAGTTGTGCGAGTAGCAATGGCCAGCCACGCATCCGTCTCGGGACCACAGACCTGTGCGACTGCCGCCCAAGAGCTTCCAAGAACACCTGCACCATCTGCGCCAAGGACAAACAAGACGGTTACGATGGTGACGAGCAGCAGGTGGGTGAGAAGCAGCGCAACTACCACGGTGAAGAACCTCCGACTTATTGGCTTATCCACGCCGACGACGGAGCGCATCTCGGCGCGAGTTTCGGCGTCAAAATTGTCGATGAACTGGTAGTAGACCGTGGCATAGACTCGCGTAAGCAAAGCCTGCAGCCCGAGAGCCACGCTTCCCGTGTCCCGTACGGTGTTTTGGAAAATGTCGACCAGCAAGAAATCGGTCCGCTGCGAGTCTTTCCAGTTTGCCGAACAAAACTTGCACAAGACGACGCTCTTCATCGTTTCGCCCAGGTCCGTAGCCGCCGGCTGGGGCATATCAACCAAGGTGTCAAGCCAATACGAGTCTGGCGAGCCCCCGGACCGATTCGATGGAGGCGTATCACTCCACCCACCGGG